CAGTATTGAGTATAGTTGGCAAGAGTGAATATTCTTGAATCAGATTGTTAATGTTTGCTGCTTTGGGAATATTGATTGCTGACAATACTCCTTTGAAAACTTGAAAGTGCAGCTTCTTATTCTCTTATTGTAACAAAAGTAATAAAATTTCTTCTATTGGAATAGAACTTGTTATCTATTTTTAGAACATCAAGGTATAGTAAATTCCAGGCGGGCATTTTTCAAAACTTTGAAATCATTCTACAAAAAAGATACCTGCACACGAATGTTTATTGAAGCACTATTCACAATAGCAAAATCATGGAACCAACTGTGCTGTCCATTGAAAGTATACTGGATTTTTAAAAACATGGTGTATATGCGCAATGCAATATTATACAGCCATAAAAAAGGACAAAATTATGAACTTTGCAACAACTTGGATGGATTTAGAGTCTATCATACTCAGCGATCTATCACAGAACCAAAGAACTGAGTACTATATGTTCTCACTCATAAGTGGACCCTGAACAATTATCATAATACTATGAGAAAGTGATTGGCAGTAGCAGGACACTGCCAGGGGAAGGGGGACTTGCACACATCATCAATAAGAGTACCTGATCTCTGCCGGGCTCGGTGGCTCAGCCTGTAATCCCGCACCTTTGGGAGGCTGAGGTGAGTGGATTGCCTGAGCCCGCGGGTTCGAGACCCACCTGTGCAGCGAGACCTCATCTCTACAATAAATCAAAAAATCACCCGGGCGTGGTAGCGCATGCCTGTAGTTCCGGCTACTTGGAAGGCTGAGGCGGAAGGATCGCCGGAGCCCAGCAGGTTGAGGCTGCGGTGGCCGGGAGCGGCCACTGCACTCCAGTCTGGGCGACAGAGTGAGACTCCAACTCAAAAAAAAAAAAGAGTACCTGATCTAAACCAAGCAAAGTGGGGACCAAAATGAGGCCCAAACTTTACCCATACAATGACCCTTTGTATTCCTAATCCTGAATTGTACCCCACATCTCTAAAATAAATGATTAAAAATATTTTTCATTTATATTCAAAACATGAACAGTTATCAATGATAGAACAATTCTATTCAACCCATGCTATATTTACTTAAAAACATTATGCTACCATTATTGTCAATAAAATTCTTTACAAACTTAAAAAAATAAAATAAAATAAAATAAAAGCACTTCTCTAAAGTATATATCCTCTCAAAGAATTATGCTTTCTGGGTTGATTCAAAAAGAATGAGTAATTACTACTAGTGCTTCTCAGTCATGGTTTGGGTTAATGCTTTATAGTTCACACTCCTGGATTTTATAATTTATAGCAGATTTACTTGATAATCTGAGAGGGTGGTAGTGGATGGGGTGAAGGAAAGGTAGTGGAAAAAACTGAGCTGGAGGAGAGAACTTTTAAACTGGGTGTCATAGTATTCAGAGGGCATTGAATAGGTCCTGTGGATTGCATAAAAGATAGGCATTAGCTTGTAGATGTAGAGAAAGATGGATAAATAGGTAGGAACATCGTATTTCGGAGATTTAAAAATCAGTTTGAAAAGTTTGCTTTTGCTCTGTTTGCTAGTAGAGAATCATTGAAGTTAAGTCTTGAGTTAGGAAGTTTTGGGGAAAAATAGTTTAAGAACTGCAGTCCCCAATCTTTTTGGCATTAGGGACCGGTTTAGTGGAAGACAGTTTTTCCACGGGCCAGGGTGGGGAATGGTTTTGGGATGATTGAAGCTCATTAATTACATTTATTGTGCAGATCAGCTGTGGCATTAGATTCTCATAAGGAGTGCGCAGCGCGTGCTCTGTTCACAGGATTCACGCCTTTATGAGTATCTAATGCCTCCGCTGATCTGACAGGAGGCGAAACTCAGGTGGTAATGTGAGCCATAGGGAGCGGCTGTGAATACAGATGATTCTTTGCTCCCTGACCTGCAGCTTACCTTCTGTTGTGCAGCCAGCTTCCTAATGGGCCACACACTGGTGGCAATCCATGGCCTGGGGATTGGGGGACCCCTGCTTAAGAAGATTTGCTTGTACAGCAGAAGCGAGACTTTAATGACGAGAAAAAATAATTTTGTTTGGCAATAGTATGTATTAGGGACTGGAGGGTAACTGGTACTAGGAGACCATTTAAGAGTGAGTGGTAAAGATTGAGTTCTTTGGCAGAGCACTGTTGCTTATGCCTGTAATCCCAGCTCCTTGAGGGGCTGAGATGGGAAGATCATTTGAGCTCAGGAGTTCAAGACCAGCCTGGGCAACATAACAAGACCTTCATTGCTACAAAAATAAAAAATATTAGCTGGGCATGGTGGCGCGCACCTGTAGTTCCAGCTACTCATCTAGTTCTAGAGACTGAGGCAAGAAGATCGCTTGAGCCCAGAAGTTGAATTGCAGTGAGCTATGATTGTGCCACTGCACCCCAGCCTGGGTGACAGAGTGAGACCTTGTCTCAAAAAAAGCAGCAAAAACAAAAAAAGATTGGATTGAGTTACTTTAGTTTGTCAGCTCTTAAGTAGCACAGTTCTTTTTTTGTTGTTGTTGATATTTAGTGCCTAGCATAGTACCTAGAGCTAAGTTCACATATTCATTCAGAATCCATTCTCATCATTATGCTAATATTAGCAAGTCTAAGATAGGAAGAATCTATATGATTGATATTTTGGAGGAAAAACGGAGATGATTTGTTTTCTAAGAGCATAAATGGTGTGTGTTAGGCTGAAGATGACACTAATGTGTCAGTGTGGGGTTTTAAGGGAGAAAAGTGCTGTCCCTGGGAGCAGGGAAGTCAGCTAGAGAAAGAGGGGCATGAGAGAAGCAGTCATGGTCATCTTTTTAGACTTGCTGAGCTGGACACCAAATTGCCTGGTATGCAAAGATTTAAGGCTCCAATGAGAATTGAGGTTTGAATGTTTAAATTTGGTTACCATTATGTAGGTAGGATTGTTTGAGCAGTAAAAGTTATTGGACTGATAAAACTTTATCATAAGCATATGCAGGGGTGTGCATGTACATAATATATACACTCTTATACATTACAACCCAAGTGTTAGATTGTTGATAAACTAATCTTCTTGTTAATATTTGCATAATGATGAGAACTGATTCTTGGAGTGAGCAGAGGAAAATAAAAGGAACCACAGGAAGAGTCAGAAAAGAAACAGGTAGAAAAACTGACAGCATAAATTTGCTCATGACGCTTGGTAATTTGTCTCATGTTTCAGAATGCAGTGCCCCCTATGTCGCTTACTCTGTCTGTACTGTATGCCAGGCAGTATGCTAGGCATGCTGCCTCTTTCTGTTCTCACACCAGTCTGTGATGTCAGTGCTGTTACAGTGATGGCTACTACAGTAGCAGTGATGACAGTGACCTTGGTGCTGTTATTATCCTGCTGATGAAACTGAAGTCTAAAGAAGTGAAAACTTGGCTAAGATCACTAAAGCTAATGAATAAATCGGATACCTTTAACTTTTTTGACTTCAAGCCCAATGTTCTTCCCATTATACCAAAGGTATGTATGTTTAATTTCTGCAAGGCACGGACTGTGTTTGTACAGAATCCGTTTTCAGTCAAGACTTATTTATTATTTAGTTTTTATTTTAAAGATGTGGGGTACAGTTCAGGATTAGGTACATAAGTGGTCATCATACAGGTGAAGTTTGGGCTTCCCGTTGATCCTCACTTCACCTGGTTTGGGATCAGATATGCTTATGGATGTTATGTCTGTTCTCCCAGCCCCCTCCTGGCAGTGTCCTGCTATTGCCAATCCTTTCTTGTGGTATTATGATCCACTTATTCAGGATCCACTTATGAGTGAGAACATGTGGTACTCAGTTCTTTGTTTCTGTGATAGATCACTGAGTATGATAGATTCTAAATCCATCTAAGTTGCTGTGAAGTCCATAATTGTATCCTTCTTTATGGCTGCATAATATTCTATTGTGTGTATGTACCACACTTTTTTCACATTTTAAAAATCAAGTTCACTTTCAACGGACAGCATGGTTGCCCATTTTTTAATCCAGTTCACTTTCAATGGGTAGCATAGTTGGTTCCATGTTTTTGCTATTGTGAATGGTGTGGCAATAGACATGCATGCACAGGTATTTTTTTTGTAGAATAATTTGAGTTCCTCTGGGTATATTCCCAGTAAAAGGGGATTGCTGGGTTTTATGGAAGGTCAGTTTTTAGATCTTTTTGAAATCACCACACTGTTTTCCATAGAGGTTGTACTAATTTACACTCCCACCGCCGGCATCTGTTGTTTTTTGAATTATTGATGTTAGCCATCCTGACCAGAGTTAGGTGGTATCTCAGTGTGGTTTTGATTTGCATTTCTTTGATGATTAGTGAGGCTGAGCATTTTCTCATGTGTCTGTTGGCTGCTTGTATGTCTTCTTTTGAGAAGTGTCTATTCATCTTTTGTCCACTTTTTAATAGAACTGTTTGTTTTTTCCTGTCGGCACGTTTGAGTTCCTTGTAGATCTTGGATGTTAAGCCTTTGTCAGATATGCAGTTGGCAGATATTTTTTTCCCATTCTGTGGGCTGTCATTCTGCTCTCTTGATGGTTTCTTTTGCTGTGCAGAAACTTTTCAGTTTGATGAGGTCTCACTTATCTTATCTCCTATGGCATGGGCATCTGGGGTTTTGATCAAGAATCAGTTGACTATTCCAATTTCTGTAAAACCTCAAATTATAAGAATCTTAGAAAACACTGGAGTTAAGGCTTGTTAATTAGCAGCAGTGACTGGACAGTCATGTTTCCTCTGAAAACCGGCAGCATGTACCGTTCGTGTGGCCGCTTCTCCACTTTTCTGGTTCACATTCCTAGTGTACCATTAGTAGCCAAAACTTCCTTTGAGTGCTTGCTGTGGATGTTAATTTAAAGGAGGATGCCAGTATTTTTATTTGAAGAGTGAATCATTCAGAAAGCGCCTTTTACACATTTTTCTTAAACTAGTATGTTTATTTTAGAAGTTTTTTTGATGCAGTTTTTGTTTGTTTGTCTCAGGGGACATCATTTTCAATGCCCAATACCCAGAGCTGCCCCCTGATTTTATCTTTGGAGAGGATGCTGAATTCCTGCCAGACCCTTTGGCTCTGCAGGTGAGTACTGCCTGTTTGCCTGAAAGATCTTTATTTGCTGAAAAGAAAGCAAGATTAACTTTTGACAATTGCTTAACAGATAGGGTTGTCAAATGTAAATTTTTTCCCACCCCTCTTTTCTCTGTCCTGTGAAATAAATACAACTCTTTATTTGCTCAAGTAGTTAATTAAGAGATGCTTTTTATTGTACTTTTATTTTCTGGCTACTCAGAATTAATAAAAAGTCTCTAGCATATTGGTTGGAATATTATTACTTCAGTTTAAAAAGACATGTTGAAAACACTTTCTTTGTTTCAACTTAATATTTCATGCCTGCATGCCAGGAGAAACAGTTTTTGGCCCTAGAGGCCTTTTTTTGTTTAGGAGTGAAAGTGACAAATTTGGAATGTATCTGCATCATCTCAGTATTATCAGAAGGGTAAAGATCACATTGAGTGTTCTTTATTAAGACCAAAAACCTTGTAGTTGAAATAAAATGTGCCTGGAATCAAAACAAGAATATTCACCATTAGGGAAAAGGGTGATGGTTCTTGTCAGAGCATATATGGTTTAGTAGAAGTTGTGTGTTTTGCATGACTGATGGGAAAGAACGTGTGCCAGTTCATTTAAATGGTTTGGTCCAGACAAAATGTCTCTCTTTTCCTTCTGAAATTTGCATTTGATGTCTATTACTTATACCATAAGAAGTTTTATTGTTCAAAGCTATATTCTTAGTTTTGTTTTCTGGAAAAAAATTTTTTTTTTTGGGGTCATAGTCTCACTCTGTTGCCCAGGCTGGAGTGCAGTGGCAATACTCACGGTCACCTCAGCCTCGACCTGCTGGGCTCAGCCGATCCTTCCTCCTCAGCCTTCCAAGTAACTGGAACCACATGCATGTGCCCAGCTAATTTTTTGATTTATCGTAGAGATAAGGTCTTGCCATGTTGCTCAGATTGGTCTCGAACTCCTGAGCTCAGGCAGTCCTCTCACCTCTGCCTCCCAGAGTGCTGGGATTACAAGCTTGGGCCACTGTACCCAGCCTGGAAATTTTTTGTCTTGTTAAAGTTTTGTAATTAAAAGTTTTGATGATTTACTTTGAAATCCCCCCTCCCCTTAAAGGGGAAGTATTAAACAGGAAGCGTTAACCTAAACCTAAAGAGTTATCTTAAATTTTAGAACCCAATTGTAATAATACTGTGTTGGCAAGAGTAGGGTGGATTTGTGGTAGTTTCTAGTAACTGCATGTAAGCTGTTATTTTATTTTTAAAAATTATAAGTTAAATATGGCTCCTTTAGATGCTCTGCTACGTGTTCACCACACATTAAAGCTGAGGGTCTTACCTGGAAAAAATGAGGCAAAGGTTTCACCACAGACTTCACCTGTATTAAATCTGCCCAGTAGAGGGTAGAATATACCAGATGCCAAAGATGTATCACAGACCGAGTGCCCCAGGAATTTAGAGAAGGTGGCCAGAAAAAGCTTGGTGATGGCGGTAAGACTGTATTCTTTCTTGACGAGTGGAACAAAAGTGGGAAGTATGCGAAGAACATTTTAGGTGGGGGAGTGACATAGCACATTTGAAGAAGCTATGATTTGTATGCTCTATTAGAAGAGGGTACTGACAGATTTGCTGAAATGTAAGTTAATTCAAGGAAAGGCTAGAAGAGGTTAGAAGGAAGACTTGGGAGAAGGTCATGGAGTGTACTGCACTGGGGCTGAGAGCCCCTGAAGGAGTGATGAAGGGAGAGTCACCTGACATCATGGGATAGGAGAAACAGAGGACAGAAATTGAGGAGGATGATTGTAAAAATTCAGTGTGTAGGGGGGGAAGGGAGGCTTTGAGCTGGGGTTATGCAAGAGGGAACAGGCATGATGGAAAGAATAAGGAATGCCTGTTGACAACTTCTTTTTCTGGAATTGCATTTACAATTTGTAGTGTGCATCTTTAATATTGTCCAGCATTGTGAGAGGGTAGAATTTAAAAGCTAAAGGACTTTAAGATCCATCTTATTCCACTCCTATTTATAGCATTCTGTGTCAGAGCTGGTATTATAATGCCTCTTTATATGTTTAGTCCCTGAGTAAAATTATCACATGTGTTTTTGAGAAGTTAGCTGAAAAAGAACAGCCAGGAATCAAAGCTAGATTTAAGAGAAAGACTGCAAATATAGGGGAACACCTTCTCTCTAGTGGTAGTTAGTTAATCTAAGGCTTCAGCTAAGCTACGCAGGGCTTCCTCATGGACTGGTGGCCTGGGCAGGCCCAGGTAAGAACAGCCAGCAGACATGCTCCACTGAGTTGGTGTGGTCCATATAGCCCTGGAGGATGCCCTGATGTTTGCTGTCATTTTGTTAAAACATTAGGACAGGAACAACTGCAAGGCTAATGCTCAGCAGGCATTTCCCCAGACACAGCTTGCCTCTGAATGGTTTTTCACTCAACTGCTGACAGATTATGGTGTAATTCGTGGATTCAGTTCAGACTGTTCCCCTCTTCTGGAGCGGTCAGACCACAGTCACTAATAACCTAACTGGTCTACATATAGTTCTGAAGGAAGGGACAATACGTATCTCATCACTCAGGGAGTGGAAAACAGAGTATCCAGCTTTCTTGGATTTTCCACTGAAATATTAACTGCAGAAGGGAATGAATTTGTGCCCCTGGAATCTGGGCGTGCAACCCAAAGTAGTTCCTATGGCAAAGTTTCTGGGTTTTATCTTAAAATTCATGAATATATATATATACATATATATATGTATATATAATAGAATCAAATGTAACATTTTCATAATTATATATATATGATATATATAATGTGTATATATATATATATAGGGGTATATATATATATATATATACACATATACATATATATATGTATATGTATTTAAATATATTTTTTTCCCTTGAGTTGGAGTCTTACTCTGTCGCCCAGGTTGGGGTGCCATGGCACAATCATGGCCACCCCAGCATCAACCTGCTGGGCTCTGGCAATCCTTCTGCCTCAGCCTTCCAGGCATCCGAAACTATAGGTGCATGCTACCACACCTGGCTAATTTAAAAAAATTTTTTTTGTAAAGATGAGGTCTCGCTAAGTTGTCTGGTCTGGTCTTGAACCGGCAGGCTTAGGCAATCCACTCGCCTCAGCCTCCCAAAGTGCTGGGATTACAGGGTGAGCCACCGACCCTGGCCTATACCTATATTTTTGATATAGATTATATAGATTTGAGAAAAGTGGACTCTCCAAATATGGTTTTAGGGAATATATGTAATGTATGTAATCTTTATTTATTCAGTTTATTTAAGCCTACTCCTTTCCAGAAAAGACTTGAAATAGCTTAAGTAAAAGACACACATAAAGCTATTAGAAATATGTGAGATACTCTAATTCATCAGATGAATCTACCACTTTCTAAATACGTGCTCTCCATTCAGGGAGGTAAGGCCCTCCCTGAATTAACGAACCTGAGATTTTCAGATAAAAGTCAAATAATAGATAGATACAACATCTAGGGGTATCTCATAGACACTACAGAATCATAAAATCATTTGACTAGGACCTTAATGGTTCAGTGGTTTCCAATTCTGGATATACATTAAAATAACTTGGGAAGCCTGTTAAAAATACAACCTGAACCCCACTGGACTTACTGAATTAGATGCTTTGGGGAGCCTCAATACTGTTCAGTTCCCTGGGCTTTTTTTAATGTATAAGTTTGTGAACTGTTATTGGGAACCACTGACTGAATGCATCTTTTACAGCAACTTCTCCAACAGAAGGCCATTTGCCTTTGCTTAACAACATTCCCAGTGAGACATCATTTTCCATCCTGGGGAGAACTCAAGTTATTTATTTATTTAAAGTAACATTTATTGAGACAATTAATATGCCATACAGTTCACCTGCTTAAAGTGTATGATTCAGTGGTTTTAGGTTTATTCACAGAATTGTGCAACAATCATCACAAATTTAGAACATTGTCATTTTCCCAAAAAGAAACCCTAAATTTATTAGTCACTTCCCTATCCTCCCATTTCTATCCACCCCACCCAAGGCAGCAGTTTATCTGCATTTTGTCTCTATGGACTTGCTTTTTCTGGACATTTTGTATAAATGGCACCATATATCATATGAACAACTATTTGACTTCTTACACTTAGTGTAATGCTTTAAATGAAGCATATATCACTGTTTAATTTTTGTATTGCCAAATAATATTACATTGTTTGCATATCCACATTTTATTTATTTATTCATCACTTGATGGACATTGTATTGTTCCATGTTTTGGCTATTTTAACTGTTGTTGTGTGAACATATTTTTTTTTCTCTTGGGTGTATACCACGAGTTGAATCACAAAGCCAAGTGGTAACTCTGTGTTCAACTTTTTGAGGAATTGCCAGACTGTTTTCAAAGTGACAGCACCATATTACGCCTCCACCAGAGTGTTTAAGTGTGCCCATTTCTCCATGTCCTCACCAACACTTGTTATAATCTCTCACTTTTTAAATTTTTTTTGAGTTGGAGTCTCACTATGTCGCCCAGGCCACTGCAACCTCGACCTGCTGGGCTTAGGCGATCCTTCCACCTCAGCCTTCCAAGTAGCTGGAACTATAGGTGCGCTCTACCATGCCAAGCTTAATTTTTGATTTATTGTAGAGACAGGGTCTCGCTAAGTTGCCTAGGCTGGTCTTGAACCCCTGAGCCCAGGTAATCCTCTCGCCTCAGTCTCCCAAAGTGCTGGGATTACAAATTTGAGCCACTACCCCTGCCTAATCTCTCATTTTGATGATAGCAATCCTGGAGGGTATGAAGTGGTGTCTCACTGTGGTTGTGATTTGTGCTTCCCTGATGGCCAGTGGTGTTGAGCATCTTTTCATGTGCTAATTGGTCATCTGTATTCTTCCTTTGGAGAAATGTCTATTCAGGTGCTTTGCCAACTGTAAGATTAGTGTATTTGTCTTTTTATTGTCCAGTTGTAAGAGTTCTTTCTTTTGGGCATATGTCCTTTGTCAGCT